GTTAATAGGCAGTATCATCTCTTTCAACAATGAGCTTAATTTGTGATTTCAATTCAAACTAAACTGAACAATTCACTTATATTTTTCAAGGACATAGAACTAAGAAGGCGGGAAACTAGGAAAGTATCGCTACTTTCAAGGTACAATGGACAATGGTATGTTTACTACAACAAATCGCCTGACAATCTTTTACTATCGATCGGCCTAAGCCGCCCACCTGCTTGGGAATCTGAAGAGAAACCGCGAACGAAATCGAAACCGAGGCAGTGTTTCAGGAGAGCGAGCTGCTCGATGCGGAACGCTCGTATGGAACGAACGTAGCGCCTCCTGAACGACACACGGCGCTCGCTGTGCGCTCGCCTTGTGCTGCTCGCTTTGATCAAAGGTGGCGGCCCCCATGGAGTGGTTACTCAGCAGATTTTATCCGAGAGAATCAAGTACTGTGTTAAACGAAATTAAGCAGACGAAAATTGATACAAATTGAATTTAGAAGTAAATGATTATGATAATGAAAAGTTGAATAACAGTTGAAATAGATTGCAAATTGACGTCGAAATGTTAGATTTCCATTTGCGCCAGATTTTTTTTTCGTCGCCATTCTTGAAAACAACCGCTCGCTGAGCGAGCATTTTGAAACTTGCGCGCAACGTTCGCTCGCGCTTATGGTTGTACGAACGATGGTCATACTAAAAATACGCTGAATATGGACATCATTTAGCTTAAATGGAACCTAAAATTGCTTAAATGGACCTAATATGCCTGATTTTTGGCTAAATAGGCGCTTGATTCAAGCAGAACAACTGTTGAATTGATGCATAACAACTGTGATTTGATGCAACACAACTGCTGATTTTGATGCAAAACAACTGTGGTTCATACAAACAACATGTTCAAATAGCTATTATCAGCAGAAATAAAACGGCCCATCACGCTAAACAATGTCGATTTCAGCAAATATGCTCTCCATCTTTGCTTGATTATCAGCACATAACAAATGTCCCATTTCAGCGATTCAAATGTCTCCCATCTTCTGCTGATATGCAGCGCTTAAAGAAAAGTCGCATTTCAAGGCAAAATGGCTGCCTTTTGCTGATATGCAGCCGCTAAGAACGGGCTTATATCAGCAGTTATATGGCAAATTAGGCAACCATTTTGCACACGACACGCCAGTCCAAACAGAAACCAGCCAATAACAGAGCAGCTTACTAAAATTAGTTGTATAAATAAACTAGAGGGCGCACTCAGTGTAGCTGTTGTGCCAGCATGGTTACGCGGCCGCCATACAACTCGATGTCGTGCCGATAATACGGCGATTGTTTTCTTTGGGAATTGTAAATTCGTGTGATTTTGTAAAATTGTGATTTGTGATTGAGATGGCGTTATTGAGTCTGAGAATTTATATCTTTATTTGTGTTTGGGTCTCTGCCTAGTAATAGTAGTATCCGCACAGGCCGATGAACATGATTCATGATGAAGAACGAATTATTATGTTTTATGAGAGGTGCAGGAATGTTATTTTAGACGTCACGCGTCTGGTCACCACTTGACGCGATTGGAGACGAAAACAGTTAGAATCAGCGACGAGACGACTTGCAGTCGGTTGCGACCAATCTGTGCAGGGCGGGGACACTGGCTACCAGTTTGCGGTTGGAACTGCTGCAAGAAGTGCAGTCTATGATCAACGATCTGGGCCTTTTAAGAAGGTAAATAGTGGCATGGAGGTAGGCCCTTACAACGTTTAGGCCTGGGAAAAATTTCACAGTTCTCGCTAATCTGTGTTTAGGCACAGGCAGCTTGAAACAGTTTCATCTGTAAAACACGCCGCCGCCATTTGCGCGCACAACTGACACATAATATATAGCGCTGTGGGCTATATGGCCTGGCAGCCGCGGGCACGGTCTTCGTTTTCCTAAAATGCCCGGCAGTTCTTAACCCTACTCTAACGCCTAAACTTCTAACCCTAACCCTAAACCTGAACAACAAATCCCCAACTCTAGCCCTAAACTAACCACTACCCATAACCCTAGATCCTAACCTCTAACCATAACCTTGTTTTACTTGAGATAACCGCTAAAAAGTTAAAAACTTGGCGGGGCATTTAGGAAAATCGGAAGGACCGGTGCCCGTGGCAGCGTTCAGATATACGCCGGCTTTCGGGCATATAGGCCACTGTGAAATATATATTTATGTGTTCAGTGTGCGCGCAAATGGCGGCGCCACCGCGACGTTGTGTTTACAGATTGAAACGGCTTCTCAAGGCCTGTGTGTCTTAGAGCTTAGCCTCATGCCAGGTTAATCAGGAAACACCTTTACCGGCGTTTTTCGTACCTCGATTCTTGCGCTGCAACAGTTTTTGCAACGTTCAGATGGCGAGGCTCGTACAGGCAGTTGGAAAGCGAGCTGCGCTCGTCTGCGCCGCCACCTATAGTCATAGCAGGGTTCTCCCAGGATGAAATTTGAAACAGGGTGGGATGGGTGGAAAGGGGGAGGGGAAAACTACGGGGAGAGTCCGGGGGGGGCTGTGGTTTTTTTTACTCGTACAACTATTAATGCGTAAAATTGCCACCAACACATAGACGGTATTTGGGGGGGGGTTTCTTGTATATATAGATAGCCGAGTCCGGTGTCACAGTTAGTGTTGCTGCTCGGGACAGGTTAATGTTCTGTACTTATGATGTATGGTCTGCAGTGCAATTGCGTGGTACCGGTTAAAAATACACGCCCGTCCGGTGGTTCACTCGATCGAATGGTAATTCGTGACGATTGAATCCCGCGTGGTCAAAACTTTATATTTTGGTAGAATCTTAAACGGGGCGCAACGATTGTACAGGGGGGATTCCCAAATGGGGCGGCGCGCGCCCCGTTTGTGCAACGTAAGGGAGAACCCTGCAGTAGCACTGGCACTCGCCTCCAATCTCTCAGGCTTAGCATAGTCAGCTCGATCGGTAAGTCCGATGGTGGAGCCGAGTACTCAGTCTATATAGCCATGATTTCTTGACAGCCATTTACATTACTGTGGAAGCAGTTTGCGAACGCGGAGCATTTGTCAGTCCTTTGTGTGATTTTGCGTGACACAGGCTCGTTACAAACAAGAGAAGTACGTTTCTCAATAACAAAGTGAACACTGTTCCTTGACATAGAAAACAGATGGAAGCTGGTTGGATGTGTATTCGTGCTGTGAAAGTGTGAAATCCAACGCGATGCGTCGAGCCGATTTTGCGATCACGCGTTTCACTACTGCTATATAATATGTGTACATAGTCGTGCAACAGTGGGCGCGAGAGCATGCGGCCGGCAGCGGTATATATGTTGCACGTCATATTTTGATGAATTTACATTTCGTTCAGTTAAGTGTATCCT